GAGTTTTGAATAGAGTCAGTGATGTTATCCTCCCATGCAAGTATGGCACCAATTGACCGACCACAGAGGATGTAAGGATTGATTGGCCCTGGCGGATATCAAGCCGAGATTCGATCCTTCAACTATACGTGTGTGGTAGGGCGCCACTTGCCACGACACCATCTGTGCTGAACTTCGATACGAGAGAATCAATTGCAGCATTTTACCAACAGCAAAGTTTACGGTGTTCCGAAAAAAAAATATCCAACACAGAAGACAGAAACGTATATCACTTTTGCACATCCAGTTATCGTTATTCAATCACAACTCTAACTGAAACCTATCCCAATTTTACGATAGTTTTCCTTTCCCAATGGGTTAACAAATAAATTTTGCATATGTCTAAATAAGAAGCCTTTTTTAGAAAAAAATACACGAGTGGTTCCTCTTGATTTATTCTACGAAAGATTCTTGTTTCACTAGCACTCGCATGGCCTAGGGATCGGATAATGGAACAACTCCCACCTACCCTCACCAAGTGTTCCTTCCCTCTGGGTCGACTGGCTGGTACCAAGGGACAAAAGCAAGTCTTGTGAAAACTTCTGCGTCGAGTGCGCTTCGTTGCGCGCGTCCGTTGGAACTAGGTCACGCCGCAGCCGTCGCATGCGGCGGCTCAGCCCGCGATAGGCTGCTTTCATGGTCCGCCGGCGCGCCGGCAGACGTAAAACGAATTAGTTCGTGTAAGAAATTTAGTCTGTTGCATTTTATTTCACGGTCAGAACCCTACCGTAAAGAATCTGACCGTGAAATAAAATGCAAGAGACGTAGATTTCTCACATGAACTAATTCGTTTTACGTCTGCCGGCCGGTGTACTATGAAAGCAGCCATACTTGACGAAGGTCGCAGTTGTCAATGGTTCATACGAGTTGCGCTTGGTCCACAGCAGTCAGCTTAAATAGAAGATAACACGTGACAAGTAGAGATCAATCGCTCCACTGACACTTGGTGGTGCTGTAATGCTATCTCGAGGCCTCAGTGGGTGCGCCGCGCGCGAAGTGGGCGGGGTGATCTGCTTTTGAAGGACGCGCGCAACGGATGCTCCCCCTTTGCGTCAGTTCGAAGAATGTAGGAATAGCATAGAATGAGTACTGGACAAGTTCTATCTCGTTGATATCGCGTTATGATCAAATATCACCTGTTTATCCGCGCTAGTTGGAATCCTCCTGCATTTTTTGTACTATCACGTCTTACCATTTCCATCGCACGGTTTCGTGGTGCATCAACTCGTCCACCTGAAGGCAAGAATTTGAAAGGGACACACGGGGGACGGAACTTACGTGCGTCCGAGGATGCGCGCGGCAAACTGTGCGGCGAAGTGCGTGGGGGTTCGAACGACTCTGGCGCTTATCATTGGGGCCCAAATTTGAAGTAGAGTAGATCAGTAGTATCAGCTGACCCTACTAAACTACTCTACTTCGAGTTTGGGCCCCAATGCTAGGCGCCAGAGTCNGCCAGAGTCGTTCCAATCACCACGCACTTCGCCGCGCAATTTGCCGCGCGCATCCTCGGACGCACGTAAGTACCCATACCCGGACAGACATCCGTTTTGGAAGGCGAACGTCCGCTGCGCGTGTCCGTCGAAAGTAGGTCACCCCGCCCACTTCGCGCGCGGCGCACTCTACTGAGGTCTCGGGAAGACATTACAGTACCAACAAGGGGGAGTGGAGCGAACGATTTGTATTTGTCTATGTTATCTTCTCTTTGGCTGACTACCGTGGAGAAAGCGCAAATCGTATGCCCCGCTTACAGCTGCGACATCTGTCAAGTATCGCGGGCTGACCCGGCGCATGCGACGGCTGCGGCGTGACCTAATTTCGACGGACACGCGCAACGAAGCGCACCCGTTTTGGAAGAACCGCACCCCGCTCGCTTCGGGAACTCACGAACTCCACTCTACCAGCTGATTTTACTTGGTGCTATGTTCACCTTAAGCAAAATGCACCACACCAGCTGCCTTAGACAACGCAAGCCTTACCATTTACCAGTATTTCCAAGATTTGAGTAAAACTTTAAACAACTGCTGTTTCTCGAGGTAGTTTTTCAAAAATTTGCATAGATCATTCATCATATAAAATACTCTCATATCCCTCCCCTTTCTATTGCAATTTATCCGTCAGTTATACTTTTTGTAATCTCTACTTGAGTACTTATACGCTTTGCTGTCATTCCTTTCTAGAGAGGCGCTTGTGCGTTTACATTTTTCCAGATATGATGAACTTACATTGTTGTGGCTGTTGGGGAGGGAGGTTGCCTCTGAAGTTAGCCATAAAGTAGTACTGCAACATTCAGTTCTGCCTAAAACAGTAAATATTGAGGGCAGTCGGTAGTTAGGTATTTCATTAACACCATTACAAATCACATCAGTAATGCGCTCCGATTAAGCAGTGCGGAATACTGTATACGTTTTTGCCGTATAGTGATTAGTGGCATCTGTGAAGCCTCACAAAAACATATTATTATTACGGTAAAATTCAATATTACGGTAAAAACTCTTTCTGTCGTAGTTGGGTGAGTTTCTTTCATAACAGACGTACTGTTTAAGTTTGCATTAAATTCTATACAAGATATCAAGACCAAAGATTGCTTCCTAATGTCTCAACGTATCGTTGCAGCTCCTTCCTTCATTGGTTTTAGAATTGCTGGTGTTCTTCAAAGGTGTCCGTCTTCTTTTCATTCCGTAATCTAGTTTGGCTTTATGTTGTCCAAGGGAATGCAAAAAGTTGTTGTATAACCGTTTTCCACTGAGCCCACAGTAACAGATGCGCAATAGCAGCAATTATAACGCTATCTTCCTGCACTAAAAGGTCATAACGCCTCTCATTTTTGGCACGCGCATGAATCCGGTAAATCATGGAACGGATTGGATAGCTTTTGATTATAGAAAAATGTCATTTCTAACTCTTATATGCTCTATATGTCCTCCTATCGTCTAGATTCTTTCCCCGGATCACTTGTTTCTCTATTTTACTATTCCCCTATTCGGTGTGCGGCGAGGTTTTTAGAGCGAATAAAATTCGGTCATTCTCCCTTCCGATTTGTTTCAATGTCTCCCTCGGACTCCATAAAATGACTTCTCACTTCGCTGTATAATGCGACCCCGTAGTTTTGTGGTCCTTCTGACGGAACGTGAGCCATATGTTTATTTACATATGTGGACAACGGTCGCTGTACCCGGTCTACGCATAACTTTGTTTGACTTCTCGAGAATTCGAAACTTTCCAGCTTTACAATTTGATTCCTCAGTATAAGTTTATGCTGTCATCTTCCCAAAGGCGTATGTCAGAATTGAGGGCAGGAACCGATAGCAGGTCCTGGCTCAAACAGCCGAGTGCCGGATTTTTTGTGCTCGACTTGCCCACCACTTTTTTCGGTGTGTCGTATATGTGATGTGGGAGATGTATCTATTTACATAAGTTTGTGTCGTGGAAAATATGTTGTCCGGGAAGTTCTACGTACATTGCATTTAACTACACCGTAAAGTCATTGTATGTACCGGGTCCCCGTTCCCGATTTGCGCTGTTGGGCCTGTCACGTTTTTGATACCTAGTCAGATATGTGAAGAGTCTCATTAACACTGGATGCTACAGTGAACCCAAAAGATATTGGTCAATTTTAGGGCTAGTGTCTGCATAATGGCGTTGTCGAATGTTTCCATGTAACATGGCCCATATTGTTGGTTTTACCCCAATGCATTCCACGCGTTCATTTTGGCTACTTCCTAGACACTTCATTACCCACATTTTGTACTTTCACAGCTTGAAGCACACGACTTATTGTTCATTGATTCACGAGCACTTTCGATTTCATCACTGAAACCACATTCGTTTTGAGACGACATCATGTGAATGGTACGATAATTACATTCTTGAACTGAACATTTTCCGATTATCTTTCCTGGTTGTTGAATTTTTCATCCTGGTTCCGTCCGTCCGCATTTTGCAGACTTAGGAAGGATTTTTTCAGTGCATCCAACGCAAATATCCTCTTTGCCTCCGCAGCTGGTTATCCTTGAACTAGAAATTGCAATTTACTACTTTGTAGAATTCTCTGCTGGGGTTCTTTTCATATGGCATAGAACAAAGGCAACTCGGATTACCTATATGGTGTTATACGAATTTTTCTTTATTTGGGAAATAAGCTTAATGCGATGCATTCCATTTATTCGATACGGAATACCTTCACCTTTTTTGTATGCTGGCTCGACATTATTTGCAAAAATTGCTTTTTGTCGAAGTTAAGTGAATAGAATTACTCGAGTTCCCTTTTTAGCATTTTGGCTTTCTTCTAGTTTTACCCAAACTTGAGTGTCAACCTTTCAGCGCTTGCTTCATTCAGCCAGCCATATGACATATTGACAACGACGTGGGAGTTTTTTCTCAGCAATTTTCCCTTTCCAATCTTACGCTTTTCATTTAATCATTTTCGCTAACCAATCGTTCCATCCCCTGAAGTAGCATCTGTCACATGTTGACAGAAATCTTAGTTTGATTTCCAAATTTTGATGACGTTTTGCTTGTCTACAACTTATTATTCACTACCTTTTAACTAGTGTGCTTGCTTTTTTAAATAGGTATTTTCGCTTCTGAAAACTCACAATCTGCCATTGTCCGCTTACTATGATCAAATAGTTGTTTAACAACCCATCTTATCTCTTCAGTTGGGTCAAATGTCCAAATTTAGTCCAGGAGCGCGTGGACTACCTCACTAGGGGGAGGGGGATGAGGCGGGGCTCGGGCCGTCGCCGCATTACGGTCCCGCCCTGCGTGCTACTTTGCTAGGTGGATATGAATGTAGCAGTAGCACTTCTGCAGCTCTTTGCCCTTTCAATTTCCGTTTCATTTTTCATGTTCATCGTTTTCACGCTTTATTGGGAATTTAGCCTTCACTCATGGCACTTTCAGGTGTAGTTCTATGCTTTGCTGAGCTAATTTTCCCGAATATCGCCCAGAACTGTTTTGCTATGTACTTCATCATCTCGCTATTCTTAATTTTCAACTTCCTCGTTAAATGGGCAGCCGCGGAAGAACACACAATTTACTGGAACGTGTCAAATGTCGAGTACGTGAAGTTTGATTATTCTTGGTCTCCTTATTCTTACTCTTTAATCTTGTCCTTATTTGGGTCATTGAGAGATTTCTTTCGTGTTAGTATAAGAAGCCCCATTTACTTTGCTTCGAGTGAACCCGTAATAGCTCTCGGATATTGGATTCGAAAGGATTCCCATTACTTCTTATGCAGACGGGCTCTGCGGAGTAGTGTGCTCGAATCTTTTACGACAAACTGCCCTAAGTAGCGTAGTAGAATTGAGATGGGCTCAACAACTAGCAATCACTTCGGAAATGATCGAAAATCTTTGAATCGATGCCGTTGTAAGGATTAGGGTGTCTTGCGCAATTGTGCCTTGCTCATGCAGAACTTGGGTCAATTCTAAGAATAGGCCGAAGGAATCACTTCCATTTCTGGTCTTACTACTTTTCTTCAATCCTTTGTCATTCCTTTCTGAAATCGAGTAGAGGTATTGTTCCATCCGGTGGCCGCTACTTTAATTTCCGCCTGCCTCAACCGAGAAAGTTCTCCTGAATGCTGAATAAAGGTTACGTCAGGCATTGTATGCAGTTCGCTAGAGGTGCACAACACACAGAGAGCGTGAGAACTCTTCTTCAGTTTTCCAGTTCGATTGCTATCTCCGTGAGACTTCTCCGTGGTTGTTTTTATAATGTATGAGAATTGCAAAACATTGTGAGATCGCCAACGGGAAATCTTTGACGTGGATATGACTTGAGGTTGAAGAACAATTACGGTGATTTATTATCATTCGTGACGTGCCAGTGCTATCGGGCATGAGTTACGTGCGATTGCGTCCAGATTTCTTCTGATTGTTGTTAGATTGTGAAGATAAGATGCGCCATTGATATCTAGGGGTCATTGAAGTGTTCATAACTTTATTGTTACTATCAGGCCAAATCTTTTTAATTCCTGGAAAACGGGAAGTAGATATCTGAAGAAAATTACTACATTTGCATAGACATTCGTTGCATTAGCATTAACCCATTAGGTGTTTAGAACATATGACCTGTACGGTTGTTCATCTCGTGTGAGCAAATTATTTGGTCACATTAGAGTCTTCTTCATTGTGTGAGAAAACCCACTTCATTAGGCATGGGTCCTCTTATGGGTGTTGGAAATCATGCGTATTCGGTCCCAACGTTTTCGAGGACTGTCTGACCTGTTGTCCATACAACAGGGTGATTTCCTCCCTCCTTCTTGGCAGAGTCTTTTCTAATTGTCGGTATTAGTGCGTAAATCGATGTCGATTCGCAACGAATATGGTAGTACTCTCGCATACTCCTCTTGAACGAATAGCTGTTGATTTAAAAGCCCCAGGGAATAGGGGTAGAGAGTGGAAATATGATTACATAACGACCTCTTCCCGGATAGATTATGCTTCAGGCAGTGCGAAACGAATTTTTAATAAAGTTCCGTCGGATGGTCCACTCAGGGACTTGACGTCGATCTTCTTTTGGCTAGTGGAACGGCAATACGCTGATGTAACCGGGTCAACCATGCAGGTGTAAGGAATGGATGTGCGGGATTCATGCGCTGCACTGCTTTAACTGATACTGTAAGCAACATCTTCCATTGAATGGACCTGATGGCGGCGGCAGTGCCGGCCGCTTTGAAAAGGGTTGCGTTGAAGAGAATAAACAGATGTCTTTGTTAGTTGGAGCATTGTGATGGTAATGAGCACAAAGCTCGTCTCACTACCATCTGTGTAGGAGCGAGTTATGATGGAGGCATGCGATAAGTTAGCTTCGCTCTGCGATCTCAAGATTTACAGCCATCATTTGACCGATCACACCTTTTGCATGCCGCCTTCGCTTTTGTTCGAGGCGAAGGTCAGGCCGCATCCCATGAATGTCTCCCCATCTACTTTTGCCTGAAGTTAGTTTCTATTCAGATTTTTGCTATCAATATCATAATTATTGGACGCTTGCATTGCTCCAGCCCTAATTGAGCTTTTCAAAGAGGTAACGATCCTGGAAACGGCCTGTTGGTTGACAATCTGGCCGATGAGGATTATGCAAGCTGACAGCTCATACGCCATATGTGGGATTTACGCTTCCAATTGTCATTGGTGGTAAAGTATCCTCGTAGATTCTGTTAGGGCAAGCGAATTTCTTCTGGGATTGAGGATGCGGAAATGCGTGCTGTGATTCACTCGTCCATTACTCGGATGGCGCTCCTGCTTTACTAACTGCAGCCAATCCATTTGCATGCATTAGAATGCGCCTGTGCTCATCGTATCGCTGCAACCCAGAAAGGTTTCTTATTATCTGCCTAGGAAGCAGTCAAAATTACATCTGATGTATTTTTCAGTGTCATATACTGACATTGCCAAAGAAATAGCGGCTATAGAGTTGTAGTCGAACTAGCAGTGCGTGCGGTTGCGATAAATTGTTTACTGGAAATTACGTCCCTTCAAAACGGGGAATAATTTGAGTCCCTCGGAGTCCAGTCAGGATCGTTCCCATGCGAGCCACCATTTATACCCAAAATATTTTCCCCAGACCCTTTTTCGAGTTCGTATCTATGAAGAACGAGGCTTTACCTTTAATTAGCCTTGTAGAGATGGAATCTAATCTTTGGCTTGTCGGACTTAATGACTCTGGGTACAGGTGACATTTCCATGAAAGCTCGGATCACATAATGAACCAGCTTGTAATCACGAAACGCATCGGATTATTGACGATGCCTGGCTCTTATGAGGGAGAATCCGCTTTTACAAAGCCATGCTTAGGTGTGTTGTTGTTGACCCAAAAGGTGCATAATTGCCCGCACCTTGGCTTGTTTTCTGGCTAAATATGTCTTTCGTGCTCCATAATGGACGGGTGTCATGTTGCAGCCTTTATGGAAGACTAACAACCACAAGCAAAGATTAGATGGGCTCTGAGGTTAAGGCTGACCGACGGCTGCTAGCAACCATGTTTGATAACTGGCTACCCAATCTCTATATTTGGATAGAGGCAACAACAGCCTTCAGTCAGACGAGACAACAATGTAAGAGGGATCTAGTGGTCATTCACTTGACGATCGCATGTTTGTAAGAAAATCCAGTGTCAACTACTCTTGCCGTCAAGAGCTCATTCTTTGTGTGCAAGTGGTGTTTGCCACAGAGATTACGGACGTAGAGAGGGAGATCCCAATTGGGATTGCCCTTCATTGCCTGATGGGTTATCAGAGTTGCAGCCCCTGTTGCAATTTACTAATAGCGCAATAATTCGGGCACGATAGACGACGGCAATGAAAGGATTAGGTAAGGACAAATCGTGGGAAAGTGAGCCAGCGTTACGCCATTTACTAATTGTCCCCAGGCGTGCTAGATCTCAGCCAGAGATTAAATTGGTGTCGTGTGAACAGGGTACCACGTTTCCATATCCTGAACAGTCATCAGATCTGGTCTGGATATGTCATGCACTGTCAACGTGCCAATCATCATTTGCTGTCTGCCAGCACCGTCACCGGATGCGCGTAAGAATTGTCAGATCAGTTCTCGAGTGCGAGATGATTTGAGCGATACAGCGGTGGATGCACTAATTTTTGTTGATATGTTGTATAGCAGTAGGATTCCTATGCAACAGAATAGCACAGCCTGGCGTGGCCCTGTAATTTGAGACGAGTATTCTTCCGCTGAAGCGAGCCGAGCGACATTACGCAATGAGCTGTTTGGTCCTCTTGAGTGCTTCATGGATGCATGAGGTCAGAATTGATCTCCCTTTTGTTTGCCTCGTGTATGTTGAAAGTCGATTCGGATGTGTTTTGATATAAGGGTCTAGATGGGACTCTCCATCTTCATTTGCCTCGCTGCGACTCTCTCTGGCTGTTATTGTTTGTGACCCGCCGAGTTCTTGGATTATTAACTGGATTAACGCCGGCTGGGAGCTATCGTCCCTCATTAATGCTAGAGGTTCTGATGCGATGGGGGCATTACCATAAACGGGAAGATATTGTGTTGTTGAATGGAGCATAAATTAACTCTTCGACTTCTATGATCACTGTTAAAGATGGAAAAAGCACGGCATGCAGCTTGGCATTTTTATCGTGATCCCATTACCTCACACTCCTCGCCCTCTCCCATTGATATTTGCGGTACGCGCGTAAGATAGCAGAAAAAGGTCATTCTTATGAGTTATGGTTCTCTGTGATTAGATTACTGCTTGATACTGCGCCCCCGAACACCTCGTTACTAAATCCAAAGGTACGGTATTGCATGGTATTGCTTATTCCATGAGAATGGCAACCGAAGATCTGCTGTAGTGTTGATTTGGAGGATTAGTTGCGTCATAAAGTGTTGCTCAATGAGCTTTACGTGGTCAGCAGGGGTCAGGAAATGTGACCGGACGTGAATCGACCACGATTCTCCCACCGACTAATTCCGCATCCTCCGTTAGTATTAATCATGGTTGAAGCAGATGCAGGGAGTATATTTCAGAGAACTCGCTTGAAATTGGCATTTAAGAGTTCATTATCTCTTTTACTCACAAGATTTCATCGTAGATGCACTCTTCATGAGGCCTCACTAAGGATGGGGACAGTTCCCATTTACGCACTTTGATATGGCGCCTGTTTTTTGTGTTACGTCTCATTTCTTTGCAGTGCTACAAGAAATGCTCAGCGACCGTGAACTTTTTCATGCGAAAGTTGCCTTTCCTAGATTCCTGGGATGGAACTGTGTGCACTCCAAATCTTAGAAGTGAACCAAACCGTACGGTGTCGGAATAGTGCTATTTATTCCGCTCCGACGATGTCAACGATCGCTTTGCGGATTCGTGGGCGCCTAGAAGGTCGTCTGATCCGCATTGCCCCCTACTCGGGGGTTAATTCGAACCTGGTGTTCGCGATACGTCCTTTTGATGAAAATTCGGTTTGACTGCTGTGCATTCACGAACCATACCACCAGCGACTGTACCGCGGCCGCCGTACGGTCGTCTAAAATTTATAACCACTTTAAATTGCTCCGCATGAGATATTGCCATCGACTTGTCAATGCATTCATGCAAAGAGCATACTACAGTATGATTTCACTCACAGCTCAACTCCAGGAGAAAGCTTCAGTCAGTTATCTTCACGAAATAGCAGGTCGCGGTAATTTCAGGCCTTGTTCGGGACTTGTTTGTTGTGAGGCGGATGTGGCGAGGTCACGCTTCAATACCGCACCAATTAGTGAAATCTCGATGGGACGACTCTAATTGCAACTCACCCTCCTACTACCTGCACTTCTACCCACTTTAGTATCGACGAGCTCCTGGGTCTTAGCCTCGTTTGACGACTGCAGTAGTAACATAGCACCACCTGCTCCATTTGCTCAGGTGTCCATATGAGTAATGGCGCATCACCCTCACATGAATGCACCGTTCAAAATCGTAATTTCATCAGATAACTTTTTGGCTTTGGTAATTTACTGATGAGGCGCCAGATGTCGCTAAGTCGTGTTATCTGATCGGTCGCAGTGTTTTTATGTGCTGCTGGGTGCTATGCGGGTAATGGTGTACAAAGGCCCGTAGAGGCATTTGCTCATGGTATACGGTCGATTGGGCTCATTACCGAACCGCATATGCAGATCTTTCGTGTAGCCGACACAGTTGCCCGCATATGATGGCAAAAACCCCATAAGTAGTGGATGAATAGTACGGTTAAGGTCAGTCGGCCGAGCATGCATACCTGACAGGCCTACCTATTGTTAGGTATATTTGCATATCTATAGTTGCCGCGAATTTTATGAGTAGGTCGGTTGTGGTTGGTCACGGTTGTCCACTGGGACCCAATGTATTTTCGCCTTTCGTCCCGTTCGAGTTTGGTGGTCACAGCTGCCGACGAATAGCTTCCTTTGTGAGGAACTGAATGGCAGAGTGAACGGCTGGATGCTCTAAGTCGTCGGAGTCTGTCGCGACGCCACGGTCGTTCGTTAGTAGTTCGGTAAATAGGCGGCGGTCGATAAGCGGCTCTTCTTTGATGAACCGCCAAAAACTTGTAAGATAACGTCTCGTCTTCTCCAAGTCCTTCTTATCAGGCAACGTTCCCAGCTTCTGTGAGAAACTGGCACTAGCGGTCATTCAAACTAGCAATTTATATCTCAGCCAGGTTGATTGTGGTTTATTTCTTTACTAATGTGAGCAAATTAGTGCTACTGTAGCCGTCAATTATGAGAATGGACAGGTGTCAGGCGGTCAGCAAACAAATACTGATTTGATTTGGGTGTGGCACGGTCAAATGTCAGAAAATGGCCTACTAGTAGAGAAAACAATTCTCCAACTGCTCCCCTTTCCTTCATAAAAAAAATCTGAAGGGCGAGCTGAGTTAGGAACTAGGAAACCTATTCAAGCGTGAATAGTTCAACCGCTTTTGGGACGAGCATCATCAGAAAGCCCAATGAGACCGTCAGCAGCTCAATGTAATTCGTCCAATAATCTGCTCAATGGGGTGTTGTGTGAGTGTCGGTGGAGTCAAACGACAGAAGACAAGCGACAGACCGCCGAAGTCTTTCTTCTGTTGTAATGGGATTGAATCACCAAGCGCATTGACCGGAAGACGGCCGGTCGGTGTCATTGGCGAGCGTTGCGCAAGAAGTGCTTGAAAGAAATTAGATTAGGGTGCTGATGTTGTTTATTTCCGACCCGCCATCAGATGCACTTTATTTTCAGTTTTCGTTTTCCTGATGAATCGTCAAACAGCATCACTGTGAGCATGGATGATACCTTACGAGTTGTGTGCCCCGCTGATGGGGTCGAAAAAAGATACTTGAAGATTCATAAGGTCCGTTCAAAAGGCTAATCAAGTGGAGATTCATTTCTTAATACTTCCTATCTACAGGTCAGTGCTTTATCTTATGAATCCTGCCTTCTCGAGACACAAAAGACGCTCGTCGTTACATGTGATGGCAGTGAAGCATCCAAGAAGCCCACTATCATAGGAGTACGGCGTCTCAGTCCGCTGCCCTCGTCTGAATCTATACTTTTCGAACCGGGCGAGACCTACTACTGGATTGGTACGTTTATACTTTTCGATTCGTGTACGTTAAAAGTGTCACTCATATCTAGTGAATTGCCTTTGTCATTCATTGCAAGAGCGGGGATGGAAACAAAAAAGCAGGGATCAAAATTAAACGGAATTACCTTGTTTTTATAAGCTTGATGATTCATATGCATATGCGACTCGAGCAAAGTAGACTTCGGCAATCGATCCCCCTACTTGATTTTTTTCGACTTCTAAATCTGCTTTCTATGCCTATTTAACTTCGAAAGAGCGCCGACGGTAAAAGTATAAATGCATGTAACGTTACACCGGTTCAAACGAAAAATCCTTTGAAACTTGTCTGTGTTCTTCATGCAATATGACCTGTTCTGAATTCCGCAACGGCGGCAGCCTCGCTCACCTCGAAGTAGCGATTATTGCGATACGTGCATTTTGCATTCTTTTCTGCTACTTCAGTACCATTGATGATAATCGTAGAAATCAGGATTCCCCCATCTCCTAAAGAATGTGCAGTTTTTCTGGAATGGGGGACGGGGAAATCACGCTGCGACACTAGATGGACTTTCGAAGATATAAGAAAATAGAGTAAGAGAAAATAGAGATGATGAGGTCGATTTAAGTGTACCTTATGGCCGTTAGGTGTTGAGAAATCGTAGCCAGTGAAAGCATGAGAGCAGAAGTCATAAAGTGGAAAGGGAATAAGTGTAGAAGTAGCAGGAGGAAAGGAGCGGGGTGGGAGGATGGTAGAAGGTAAGGAATTTGAATTTCATCTTTGAACTGAATTTTGAATGCCATCGTTTGCAAATTATGATGAACGTATGAGTTCATATAGCAAACCAAACTTAACTTTTTAGCAACTTCAAGTGGAGAAAAGGAGGGAATCAATCAAGCCCATTACGGTATGTGCGCGGCGGACAACATGCGACTCGTCATTCACGTTCGAGCACAATCGGATACGTCCAGCACAGAAATCCGGACTACTACCATTAAGAGTGTTCGGCAGGAATTGGCACATATTCCATCAGAAACTCCTGGTGCGTTAATAAGATTGCGAGCAAGTTCTACAAGAGTTTCCCATGCCTTGGAACATGGACCCTCCAAGAGGTTTTGCGCTCACTGTGCTGCTTAACGAGTTGTTTTCAGTTAACCCCAGATTTTCTGCCATTGCCCACTCCCTTGCAACGTATCCACAACGACGTGAGCCGAAAATTCCTGATGGTGTTACGCCTGAACAATTACAAAAGGTGAGGAAGGACATTCTAAGGCTAGTAGGTGTTGGATGGCGGGTGCAAAAATCCAATTTTTCAGGTCGCTGCGCTTGCTCAGAAAGGAGCTACTGGCACATTCACTTTTGGTACACCCTCAGCACAAGATCACGAGGTCTGAAAATTCTTCCTCTTTGAACGTCGTCGTTTTGATATCACTATGTACTTTATTTTTATTTCTATATCTTCAGAGAGATGGTGGTTCTCGAGCAGAAAGCATTTTGTGGGACACTGCTCCACTTTTGGAGAACGTATTCAGTGGGGCGTCTGACGACTTGTTGTTGGGCTCCAATCGAATAGGAGATGAAGAGGGGGCATTCGTCGTTCACGAGGACATAGGTGAGACTTTCTACAATATGACTTGAATAACTGCATTGATTAAGTTCAAATTAAAGTTTATTATGCTTGCGAAAGGTACTCGTGAAAAAACTGGCAATTTATATGGGGTGGTGTAGCGGCAAGTGGCGCACTATCGCCACACATGGGTTCGAATCCCGCCTAGGCCAACCAAGCTTACCATCCCTCCGGGGTCGGTCAATTGGTACTAGTCTCGTCTGGGAGGATAAAAGCATTGACCTGTACATCGGCTGGTCACCGCAAGTCATTGTATAGGCCACATACGCACTCACTACGCCACTACGATTCTGAATGGAAGTCAAAAGTTCTGAATGGTGTAGCGGCAAGTGGCGCACTATCGCCACACATGGGTTCGAATCCCGGGTCCATATCCGCTTAGGTCAACTTAGCGTTTTATTCCTCCACTTCGTCAATTGGACCAGATTCGTCTGGGAGGATAAAAACACTGACTGTCACGTTGGATTTATAACGCCACTACGATTTCGAATGGAATCCTACAGACGGGTTGATTGACACCTCTATCCTTTGTGACTTTATCTTTTATTCATATAGACCCATCTTTCTCATTCCAGCGAGATCTTACGAGTATCAGTCAAATGCTTGTCGGACGCCGCCAGTGATTTTGATGGCCTATGTGGCACTGCTGGTTTTCACTTATCGCGTTATACTCTGACTTCTGATCGATCCAAGAGTTGCATCTATCGATGCCACGCGAGCATCAATCGTGTGATCAAAACTATATTTATATGTCATGATTGGGTTCTGCCTTCGCCGGTTCTTCAACGGGTTCTTTTTGCTATATCAGATGCGGCTCCCTGATGCTTTGTACATGCTGAGTATATTGTAATAGTTTTCCAATTACAGTACATCATTGCTCTGTGATTTGTTTATACTTGTATCGCTCAGCACTGTTTTGCGCGGTGCAACGCTCTTTCAAGAGCAGATTTGTTGTAAAGTCAGCGCATTTCTACCTTTCGCTCTCTATGATGGGATTGCGTTCTATCTTATTTTGTTCGAGTAATCGTTCAGTTCTTGTTATTTCAATACATTAATGTTTGTTTACCTTTCTGAGATTCGTAGCAACTGTTTTACAAGTTCACCTTGGCCTGCGATGCTGCTGCATGTTTTTGTTTACTTTTGTGTAGAATAACTAGATAAAGATTTTATTCAGATCACAGAAAATTGAAGCATAGAAAAATGATGAGACCATTCGAGGAAAGTGTGTAAAGTACTCCATTCAGAGTCATCATGGTCGTGACAGCTTAGGCTCTTTGAAGTGAAGGAAATCAATTCGAATCTTTCAAACATCTCAGAAGTTCGATAAAAGAGGTGTTGGCGCAATATGGCCGCTACGATTTTTACTCTGTAAGAGACTCAAACTGTCATGACCATGTAGCCAGATGGATACCTCTAGCGGCGAGGTGGCTGTACTAGGACATCGAACTGCGAGCGGGTCAGATCGAGTACGCTGTTGTTACGCAGTTACGACGTCAGTATTCTTTGTAAAACCTTTCAATTCATTTACAATATCAATGATTTCACGGCCTTTTGTCTCCGGTAGGAATATGTAGATGTAGGTGAGAGCCATAGAACACGGAATGATGAAGATGGGCACGAAGCAGACTGCACCGATTACCTGAAACAATTGATACGGCATAGAAAAAACTAGACGATCATTCATTGAAGTCATACTATCCGGAGTCTGAATGTACGGAGGTGGTGTAGTGGCAATTGGCGTACAATCCCGCACGCATGGTCACGGGTTCAAATCCCGGACCGGTAACCGCCTAGACCAACTGCACCTTCCATTCCTCCAGGGTTGGTTAGTTGATACCAGACTCGCCAGGGAAACTGTAAGCACTGACTTGTACATCGGCTGGCAACCACAAGTCATTGTATAGGCCACATAGGCATTGAATACGCCACAAAGATCCTGGATGGAAGTGAATGCGTGGGCGCATCCTTCAGACTAGACTTTTTATGCTGTTCAGTTGACCTCAACGTTCCGATACTGGTATTCAAGGCAACCACGCAGTTATATGCAGGGTTGAGCTCAAGCAGACATGAACGCGAGTCAAGGAGTCGTTCCCTGTCCGTCTTTATTGGCTGGTATCAGGTCGGGTTGGTATGACGAATGGATGTATGGCGGCAACGAGAGGTCGATATCCGATTGATATCGACAGATGATCGCTCTATCGGAAACCAGCTGTGATGTGGCGACGATACACACGATGGAAACCTCCTCTCGCCTACCTACTTTACTGTGCCTGGTTGGCAGAAGGTCAGGTTCAGCTCATAGCTACGACTGCGTCATAACAACGCATAACACAAGCTGTTTCTGAACCAGTGCTACTTCTTTCCAGCCATTGAAGAATATGTAGTTTAGCTCAGCAGTCATCTTATTCACCACCTTCGTGTCCCTTTTCTATGCGTCTTATATGGGACGGTTTGGTTGGGCACGTCGTACATGCTGAAATTGCGAACTACCGTACTAGTTTGCTTTTGTCAGACTTCCTCTACCTGCAAGGAACGAACTGCCTTCTGATTCACGAACAGGATCGCGTTTTAAAAGACTAGCAACGCGAATTTTGTTTCATAGCAGACAATTCTCCCTTGCGTGATGATTTCCATTGTGAGCTTTGGATTTCCATAAAAAATTCTCATGTCCTCTTCAGAATCAGCAAACACATGGTTCGCTTCATGCTTTTACCCGAGAATGTTCTTTTACTATTAGAAGCTGTCTCGATTCGATGGGAAAAAATTTCAAAAAAAAAAGAAAATATTTCGAAAGGTGAGAGTGACCCCGTTCAGAGGCACTGTTCCTATCTCCATGACGGGTCCTAAAGATAGGGACTTCCTGACACTAAGAGGAAGAGGTTTCTTCTGATTGTTCTTAGAAAACAACAGCCTCAGCCTGAGGTCATTATGAGCAAGTGTAATGGCAGAACGCTTCTCTGAACCTCCCATTTTTTCAGCTACCTATTGAACTACAAGGGGTGTGGTGCGATTCTCGCGTCAATATAATGAGGTCATCGGACAAAAAGCGCTAAAACATCATGGCTACCATCATAACGGAAGAAATAAGGTCTTATAAGTGGGATAAGTAAAGAAATGACCAACTATGCACGTTTACAGAAGGATTGCATCTTCTAGGATCAAGGAATTTGATGTTATTCTTATTTTGGACGTTTGACAAGTAAATTGTTGACATGAGGTGAATTCTCAAACTCGAAGAGGCTTTTTTGTCATAGTAAAGAGATTTGCTCTATTCATGGTGAAGCCGTTCACTANGCCGTTCACTACTGCAAATTTATTTGGTCCATCTCAATAGAAAGGTACTGAAACGATGCTGCGTGCGCGAAGAGCTCTAATCGAATCGCGCTCCCCCAACTACAAGCAGTCAAGCACTGTTACAAAAAATGAATTTGAAAAGAGATATGGGCTAGATGTCTGGTATAACCAAACTTTCCGGCAATTTCGCTTCTATCACGGATGCTAAAACTGAACACTAATCTCTCTTTTAAAACATCCGGACACTTCGTGGGTTCATCAAAGCAGTTATCCAGTTATCAATTTTTGTTTTCGTACTATCTTTCAGTCAAATCCTTACCTATTCTGGGTTTCATCTTTGGTTGCGAGTCTTTTGAATCATAATAAAGTCAGACTTACCCCAATTAAGGGTACGGTAGCGAAATTGGTGAGCACGACAAGCACGCTGTGTACGGCGTAGCACAGGCAGAACATAGCCGATCGGTATTGTATTGGTACCATTTCAGGTGAGATGAACCATGCAACTGGCCCAACACCGATTCTGAACGAATTTACTTTTTAATTCCCATCAGACCGGGAAAAATTAATAGCAGACATTTCATTATTTTAGGGAAGCTTCTATTATATACATCGAACGCATCTATGATCCTAGGCTAAACTTGAGTTTGTGTTATCGAATAAAAGGAAAAGTTTTCTTCTTATATCCACTGAAAGTTGATCACAGGCGATCATACTCTATTTTGTTGAGATAATCAATGAATTGAGGTACTCCAGCAACTTTAATTATTATTCAAAACACTTTTGTTGACGTACCCATATGAGGAAATGAATGCGAATACAGCCGCCATGGCAATATACTTGAAGCCAAATTCGGCTGCAGTCACGAAAATGGTTAGAGATATCATACATGATGATCCGGCCGTCAGCAACAATCTCCTTGAAATAGAGTAATAGAGTGAATTAATGATAGAGTAAATTGTTAAAGAAGGCGGAATGGCGCAAAAAATTTGTTAACGCCGTTCGACCTGCAGTTAGTGTTTCGGTAAAATTCTAGTTTGCTAGTTTGCTTTACCGCTTAGTTTCTTTTCTAAAGGAAAAAAAGTAAGTTTTGAACCTTCAAACCTGTCACAGGTGGAGGTAGTGTAGTGGCAATTGGCACTATTGTGCCCGCACGGTCACGGGTTCGAGTCCCGGCTAGATTTCTGCCTGGTCAACCAAGCCTTACATCCCTCCGTGGTCGGTTAATTGGTACCAGACTCGTCTGGGAGAATAAAGCAGTGACTTTTACATCGGCTGGCCAGTCATTGTAGAGGTCATATGCGCATTCAATAGTACACTACGATTCAGCAAGGAAGTCATGTGGGGAGCATTCCCGGGACAGGATTGATCAACGCTCAAAGACTTTATCCTTTTTATCCGTCACACAACGAACTAGTTCTACTTTGGTCCAGAAAGACAAAAATATTGTTCCCACGCATTGGCTCACAACCAGTAACCCGCACTTCTCCAAATGACCTAAATGTTTACAGTGCAAGTGTAAAGCCTCCTGCGTACCACTTGCCATTCGACCCATGCGATCTTCAGACCGATCAAAACCGTACCGTTTAGTCCTCATCCATTCAATCAGCAGTGTATTATTGAACAAAGCGAATTTCTATTCAACATCTACAGTACGGTTGAACAATTAAAGGATAAAAGGACAAATTTTTTCGGCTTTGACAGACACTGTTTCAAGATGCGCCTACGCTCGGGAAGAGCCAATACTGGGATTGCCGGGACTAGTCAATGTGCAAGCTAGGGCTCTAACTCCCTCAGGCAAATGGTACAAAGTAACTGAACCCAGAGAGAAGGGAAGCATAATTGATTCAAGCAGTATTGGTCTGGGATTTAACCTCTAGCCTAGAGCTGTGCTAACGTGCCATTTAGCACTTCCTATGCCTGTCCACAAAAGGAAGCAAGGTGAGAAATTGTCGATTAGATCTGGCGGCCATTTGATACCTCATTCTAGAAGGATGCTAACAATTTCGTCTGAAGAAAGTGTTTTCCCAGATATGATCGAGAACGAACCTTCGCGGCAATTTGTCCACTATACATGTAGATGTGATGCAGGAGCAGGTGAGAAGCACCATAAGCAGGGAAGACGACAACTGTGCAACATCACTGAAAAGAACTCGACATGATCATGGGGAAGACAACGACATGATGTCAAACCCACTTTGGGACATCAAGATGTATGAAGAAGTATGTACTATTCTGCAGAATGGGATAGAATGGTAAGGTGAGAATAAGGACGGCAACAGAGACAGCGAAGGCCCCTCGCAGATGTCTTGTCGTGAGAATAGCCTGAAGTGATGTACTGAGAAGTGAGTCGCATATAAAGATGAACTACGGACTTGGTCGTCATTACCTTGACCCCTCCCTCATTTTCTTTCACTTCTATATCTTTGCTCTCGAGCTGGACTTTCGCCAGCTCATCTTGAAGGCCTTCACGATTACCCTGATAGAACTTGAGAGAGTTCATTGCAGCCGTCCCGTCTTGCCTGAAATTTTTGTATTATGAGAACAGTTGATGTTACCGAGTAATGTCTGAATGACAACGTCAACCTCTTAATCATCAAGAATTTCGGAGTGTCCGGCATGAGAATAAGGGCTAGAGTAGAGAGCACGCCAGGTATAACGGGCACGAACAGGAGAACAGACAATGAATAACCTGAATGGTTCAAGTCTTCTCCCGGTCATACTACTTTGTTGAGATCAAAGTCTATTATAATCACTCAGGTTGTAAGATAAACTCCCGAGCTGGGATTAGTCAGGATTTAGCCTGAGTCTTCAAAGTCTTCGAGCATTGATCAATCTCGTCCGAGGGACGTGGTATTGGTCTGTTGGCTGAGGGATCTGGTACCATAAATCGAATTCGAAGGATTGGAAGACCTGGTTGGCCTAGGAGAAAATCGATCTAGAATATGTATCCGCGACCATGCGTGTGTGATAGTGCGCCACTTGTCACTACACCCCCTCTGCCCAGTCAGAAATTATTTCGGTTAAAGGTCCGGAGACTCCACATACAATGTTGAGATTTTTGCTTCAACAAGCGATTATTAAGGGTTTTTCATTCCCAGTCAATATTTGCAATAATTGAACAATCCTTTTCAGCATGCCGAATGAATAGGTCATCCTTCCTTTCAGTTTCTCCATATTGTTAGCATAAGTTCAAGCTGATAATTTAATGTTTTACCGAGTACGTCTTCATGACCTAATAACACCCCAAACAGGCACATAACAGCGTATCCGGTGGAAAAAAGCGATGACATCGTTCCTCTGAGACTAGACGGTGATATTTCCTAGAACAGAGCAGCTAAAGAAAATACAGTACAGCATCCCAAACTCAATTATCAAGATAAAAACCTCGAGATTTTCAGTGAGAGACCTACCTGAAGGTATAGGATAAGGGCAGCATCACTAAGTGGTGAGAAGATTGCAGTGATGATACGCCCAGCAATCAGAATCTGAAGCATAATGGCTAGTGATGAATACCGAAGCGGTGAGCTTTTGAGTGACTTCACCGCGATAACTCGAATAGAGAGGAAGATCGAATGATCGATCTACCTCGGGAAAGGGAGTAAGGGAGGCAATCATCTGCATTCCACACGCTGCCGTCATCACCACGACTGAGATTAAGTAGGCTGCTAAAACTGGATGTTAGCCGGCGACCACGCTGATTTTTTTTCAAGTTAAATATTATACAGTTATGACAAAGATTGCATTTTTTAAAAACCCATGTTATTCTGGAATTCAAATCTCCTTACAGCAGCTAACAGCTTGGTTTCTCCAGTAAAGTATCAGAGAAGCTGATTTCTGGATTTCGAGATCTAGGAGAAAGAGTCAACTGAAGAGGAAATCGCTAATAGAGTAGCTACTGATTGGATGGAAGGGGAAATTACTACGCAATTGTAATTCAGAAAAACGATAGGAAATCTCGAAAGTTCCAGCAGCAGAGGTTAGGAAATCTTCTTGATTCCAAGCCAAAAGGTAGCAGAGAGGCACCAACATTAGCAGGTTCTTGGAAAAGCTATCTCATCGATAAAATCTCGAATTCAGGGTTCTTAAACCGTAGCTCAGCAAATGTAGGTCTCATAAACCGGAACCATGGCTTAGTATTCGTTGAAAAAGAATGTCAAAAGCTTAATGGATGAGTTTTCTCGAGAACTTAAAGGCATAGTTCACGATAATTTTGAAATGCCGTTTTTATGTTGAAAAGCGGAAGTGTTGATGTATAGGAGTACTTCGGCGGCGAACAAAATCTGCTTACTTCGTGGCTTTTTAAAAGCAGTGGAACTGAGGTTGTACGAGATCACCGTGACGGGAATGGCGTGCAAGCGTATTTGGACGAGATGTAACATACTCCATTTGCGCAAAGTGATATACTACTTCAAGCGGAAATTGTCCGAAACTGCTTCTCACTATCGCTGCGGATTATGACAAGTACATAGAACATCCTAAGTGGGGGTCCCTTGAGATAGTCCAGCCTCTACAAAGCCGTTGAAACTCGTCCACTACGGGTGTGGCGTTCACAAGATACAATCTCTGGCTCTTTAATGTGCTCTACCCAGGAAGCTTTTCGAGCTTATAACGGCAGGTATGGTATAAGAGGGAGCCTCGAATTTATGCCATAGTGGAATCTCAGACACCATTTGTATCGTGAACTGTGTCTTTAAGCTCCGCAAGTGGAAGCTGAACTGAGGTAGTTTCCCCTCATGAGGGCAAGTCGCATTCTCTGGGAGAATTAACAGAGAATTGGCAATGGAAGCAGACCAGCTCAACATTTTGCAGGAGATTACCCTTGGCCCAGCACTGATTCATAAAACGACCCAATTTAGCTTTATTGGATTGAAAGAAGTAACATTTTGAAGACGAAATTGAGGAAACTCACGTTTTCTACCCCAATTATCGCACACATAAGGGCTCATTAGTGCCCCAGCCACTTGGCCAGCGTACCATACACTATTGATCCCAGATTTAATCAATGAAACCTAAAATTCATTACAGGAAATACAGTAGAGAGGGTTCCATATGAAATAGATTACCTCGTGATGATCCAGAGGACGATAACGATCGGTATAGGACTCGTTCAGATACTTATCCATTTTGAGGACAGCTGCATTGATAGAAGTATGAGTGAAAGCAGAAGGGAAGTTGGTGATTGTGGTCAACACCCAACCAAAGATGAAAAGGCGTACTCCTGTTGTTGAGCAAAGAGTAACCTTCTGCATCCTGAAATTCAATTGGTAGCAACATAGGCAAGACAAACACGCAATGAGATATCAGGGCGATACGATGGCCGATCTGAGAGATGTGGACGTGTACGGGTCATCCCATTGCATGCCTGGGTATGTTTTGCTTCCGAAATACACCACGATCTCTACGAATTTTGTGAAAGCGAAAGGTGAGAGCATTCAAGAGGCATCAAGTATTGAACACAAAAAGTTGCAGGGTTGGAGTGGACAGAACGAGTCGACCAAATGGTCGAAGGAAGGCGTGCTGTGAATAGGTCCAGTGGGCCATTCAGACAATGGGAATTAATCTCTTCTGAGACCAAACAACCTAATGAGCAAAGTAGAGGTCATGCTGATAGGCTGCTCACACTCTTTATTCATAGCCTTCGTGTAGTTCTCGGGATACGAAACCTGGGACGCCACCTTATCGCCGAAAAATTCAAGAGATTTCCCGAAAAACAACTATTTCTTTCTCAAATATAGGGCCTGAGTTAATCTGAGAGCAAGAAAAAACTCAGGTTGTGGGCATAGTTTCAGGTATGTATGGGAGAGACGGTTTCGGAAGAGGCCGATATCAGAGGGCAAACTGAAATTGTATGAAGAGCTCAGAAACCGAAAAACCAAAGATTTCATTAGTTATATCCCATCGCAAGCTAGAAGGCAAGCGACTCTCACCCGAGGCACCGACAGAAATAACGTGAGTGGTGATGTGTCAAGGGATTCCCCGAACTAGAATCACCCGTGTAAGGAATTTCTTTGATGCATGCCGATGTGACAAGCCGCAGGTGAATGACAAATTATTATACAGAAAGCAGGCTGACATTAATACCTTGCAGATAGTGGCCTCATAAAGGGCTTATGGTATTCTTTGATGCATTTTTTGTCCTGACCTCGATTATTACAAAAGAAAAACCCACTGAATATCGTTTGGGTGAAATGGGCCGAGGCTGAGATAAGCTTAGAATATATAACCTAGCAGTATGTAATAAAAAAACTTATTCGCTGGTAAATCCGATGAAAGAAAGAGTAAAGGTAGGATACCGTGAAGCGAGGTCGTTCACGGAACAGCACGCTAATGTTTCTATTGAAAAGAAGATGGCAAGAAAAAAATGGTGATTTGTGGGCGTCTTCCTCCGGGTAATATACGCTCAAACTCAATCGGAGACAAGGGTCATTAACCTATCCCTCTAATGCATTCCGCTTATTTGGAGCCATAAGAATGACCAAGTGAATATTTCATTTCATTTCATTTATTGACGCAGACAAAGTCCACGTGAGCTACAATCTACAACAAGTGAAGCATCCAGTAACACAACTCTCGCAAGTGTCATAACAGAAATAACTATAACAACTGGAATGTAGAAAAAAAAGCAAACATGATGAGGCATTACGTGGCTAAAAAGAAAAGAGAAGACAGCCAAAATTATGACGTTGATCGAGATTAGCTTGAAAGCGTGCAGGAATCCTCTCTAAGCATTTTTTCGGCCGATATGTTTTCAAAGTAGGAACTAGCTTCCCGAAATCAACCCTTTTCCGCAGATACCCAAGCCCTTCGTGAATTTGGTGTGTAGGAGAAGGTGGGTCGTCATTTCAGATCGAACAGACCATCGAGAACACGTCTTTTGATTTCTGAACTATGGCCGCCGGGTGCCCTTGGCTGGAACTGTATCAACAAGAATATCCACCCAAATCTCTCCAGGGGAGGACTTGCTAAACTTGGCGCAATCCACCATCATATCCTCCCATGCATTACTGGTGAACTGTTATCGTTGCTCATTGGCAGAAAATTGTTTCAGGTGATATCGTGACGTGAGTCATGGGGGAACGAGTCGATACCTGCGATACTGCGACTCTCTCGAAGTAGGATGTGGTCTCCAGTCCCCGTCATAACTACTAGGATACCAGATTGAATGAGCCTGAAGTAGACCAGTGAATAGCTCTGACTATGAGCAATCTTCTAATTTATGGTGTACAGAGTTGTGAGCAGGATCCATTGTATTCCAATGATTTATTAAATGAATTCTCAATGAGGGCAATCGCTGTTGAGTGCCAGGTCGATGATGGAAAGTTTTTCTGATAGAGGCAGTTCACCGCGAATTTTAGAAAACCTGAGAAGAAATTACATTCTTCAGTTTCAGTAGAACTGAAAATGACCTCTAAATCAGGGGCATTTTCAGTTCTACTCAATTTCTGAGAATTCGTCAAAAGCATGTTCTGCTTCTGGCCCAATGGATCACTCGTTTTATCGGAGAAAAATTTTCTCGTCACAGCAACAGAGGTTCACTAATGTCGTCTTCAAAACTGGAAGAAGGGGCCGCTAGAGGCCTACTTTACTAATTACAGCCTGCCATATTGTGTTCTATCCATGAACATCACTGAAGGAAATGGTATGGAGTAAGTAGATGGTATCGAAGTTGTTGGCAACAGCGAACAGTACCCATCTTCACCGCCAGAAGGAGAGCACATCATTTCTCTCAAGCCGAATGTCAATTAGGACCTGCAGTTTAATTTCTGAATTACACAATTCACATCCCCATGTAAAACTGTGTGCCTTTGATACTGTAGCAATAACAACTAATCGAAACTCATCAAGTTTTTAACTCACCCTAAAGAAACGGGAGGTAATTTCTCTGCTCCCTAACTGCGCCCATTAATTCGACATCGAAATACGTAGGCTGTTCAATGCTCATTCGACCTATCAGCGACTTGAACCAGGTATGCCCAGGGCAACAGTTTCGGCCTTTCAGACTAGCCCGATGAAGAAAGTACCAAAAAGATATATCAGTATTTGATGGCAAGGATAGGCATCAAACCGGGACTCTCCTGGCCATTCGTTGGGTCTCTACACCTCTAGATTTCTACCATACCGGTACTGGTGCTAGTAGGAGACTGTTTTTCCATTTCGCATGGGTCCCCTAGCGTATGAACGCTAACAGTTTTTTCGGCAGTTGGGAACAAAAGCACTGAGCTGAGCACTGTTAGCCACCACAAGTGTGTAGGCCAAATATGCATCGAACCGCCACTATGATTCAGATTAGACTTCCAGTGGTGGTGCGCATACCAAAAGGGGATCGATCAACACCACTCCATCTTCCAATCATAGCACGGCTGTCTATTTTTGATTGAATCACAAACGAGGTGGTGACACCTCATCATCGACCTGATTCCTTCAGTGTTATCAGACGCAATAAAACAAATTTTCTTATCTCTTGACAGGAGTTCAGTTCTCTTGTCGTTTGTGGTTTTAACGTTTTGACGTGGGCCCTAAATTTCGATGAAAAGCTCAATGATAATTTTGGAAAGATTCAATTGTTGTCATTACTTGCAAATATCATTAACTAAGTATGTCTGTAGGTATGCGGATGGTGTGAGTATGTCAGCCTCTCAGTCACGAACTTTGTACCCTTCTCTCTTCAGCAACAGAGAGTACTGTTTTTCAGAGAGCCCATGTGGTATGACTTTACTACATTGGTATCGATCTACGTCAGTGAAGTGTTCAAGTGAGGATACCGTAACGATGAATGCCTTTTCGGCTCACAGGAATGAGTAGAGGCGATTTAGGCGTAAGTCGATCGAACTGGCTTGTCGGTATGAAAATTCAAGCCCTTCTTCGTTGACCGGTCCTTTTTGGGATGCGCTCGCGCTATGGATTTCCACTCGGAATCGTGGTAATGCTGGAGTTTGTATATGAAGGCGGAGGTGGTGTAGTGGCAGGTGATACACTATCACACGTGGAGCATCCCTCAGGCGGGATTGACTATCGTCCTAACGATTTATTATTCAATATGATGATATGATCAATGCAATGACTTGAGGTGCCCAGATGCGGAAGTCAGCGAATTTATTCTCTCAGAGGAGTTTGGGCGAAATTAATCACATCCTTCTTCTGGGCGTTTATCAAACAGGGAATCGATTCCAAGACTTTGCACTGAGACACCATGCACTGCAACACCTCCGCCGCCCAT